CCTCCGCTAAGATCGTTGTCTGTGATTAAATTAAGCCCTCCCCCCTCCTGGTAAATGGTCAAAAGATTTTAGCTAGCAGCTTTTTAATCACATTTCATTGCACGTAAAAAAAAAAAAAACAACAAAGGAGAAGACAGAATAAAAAGCTAAAAAAGGTAATTCCATCACAACCAGCCTGACTTCTTACTGTCAGAGCCCATGTGAACCGGCTGAGCCATGTGCCCTGGACATCACAGAGAGAGAAGCCTCATCTTTCAACACCCTGTTTCCCCACTGCATGGGCAAAGCCTTGAAGGAATAACACTCCAATCCACTCAAAGAACGCCAGTGATCAAAATCTGCACGTACGTGGACTGTTTTCTCATAGCTCTGGCTGCATTAAGAGCCTGAGAAGCCCGTTTAGGCACCAGCTCAAGGAAGTCGTGTGTGACTGGCTGCACAGGAGCAAGCGAAGGTTAATTCCACACTGGAAAACTGTTAAGGATCGACACAACGTTTCAGCTACAGAGCCTTCTGCAGGCCCTGCTCTTCCTCCCGTCCGAGCACAGGCGATGGATTAAACTCACCGAAAGCAAAAAAAGTGAGTGACAGAAAGTAAAAAAACAAGACGTTTGTTTATTGTTTGGGTTCCAATCTATGTGCCTGTGACTTCCATAAAAGCCCCAAACATGCTGGGAAACCCCGAGTCGTTCGGATCATTATGTTTGAGCGTCGCCGTCTGACCATCTGTTCCGTGTCCTGGCTCTGCACTTAAACCCCCTCCCCCCCACCAGCTTGCTCCAGACTCCCAGCCCAGGCCCTGACTGTCTTCATCTCTCAGTTCGCCACCGCAAGGCCTGCAGTCACAGAGCACCACACAGGTCCCACAGTGGCAGTCATAGAGGAGAGCGAATCGTCATCCTCTGGAGGGCCTGCAGTCTCCTGGGTTTTGTTCCAGTCACATCATAGGCTGAACAACTGTAATACTTCTACCCGGCTCTGAGGCTGGATTGTAACCACACCTTTAATTAAACGAATGCCAGCTGTAACACACCTTTAGAAAAATCCTGTATACGCCTAATTTAGAAAATAACAAGGTTATAATTGATTAATTGACTACTATGAATAGGGATTCCCCAGTCACAGTCAGTCACCGAGGCGACCTGGGCTCGAACCCGCGACCATGGTGCTCAGCATTAGCGGCTGATGTACTCGGGAGGCCCTGAAGGCATTTATTTCTTACCTCCACAGGTGCTTAGCAGCCACAAGACACTGGCTGCTGACTCTCCTTCCAGCTGCCAGAGCTCCACTGGGGACGATGGTAATGGTGATTATCATCGGTGCCAGTACATCGTATTCAATATGCAGGGAGCTCCCCGTGGATCCTCCTTAATGGGAACCGTAAAACAGGGACGTTAAGAAAATCGACGTTAAGTGGGGGAATTATGTCCCCCTGAGAAATAATGGAAATTGGGATTAATGGGAATCAGGAGGACGTAAATGTTTCCCAAAGGACATTAAGTGCAACATGTTTCTCCATAAGAATTTATGTGTCTCAACGGTATTGGGAACCAGGACGTGACGATGTCAGTCTACGGTAGTGCACATTCACATCTTCTGTGTGTAAACAGAGCTTTCACTTGTGTGTGTGTGTGAGCAACCGTGAGAGACACCGATAGAGAAAGAAGTGCCGAGACACAGGGAGAGGCAGGATGTTGTACAAGCTACAAGATGGTGTAGTGCATCCGCATCTATACATATCGAGTAATGATATTTCTATAGTACAAAGCAATTTTGCAGTGCGTTTACCTGGAATTTGCCACATTTTACATATTTTATATATAGGAGAGGTGCTGTACAAGCACACACTCCTCTGAAGGAGTAGTCATAACAAGGAGAAAGACAAGCAGCAGGGGTACTTCGCTCCGAGGATAAGAAAGGGCTGACTCTCTTCTACGGACGGCATCTAGAGAGCAGTGGGGCAAATTGGACGATGTGCAGAACTGCCCCGGCACCTTCAGCGCTTCAAGATGAAGCCTTCCTCTTGTGTATCGCTGGAGGAGTC